ACACGGATAGATGGTAACTTGTCCACGGCCACAAACCAGGCAAAGGGAAGAGCCAGCAATTAATTCTGAGCCATCGGACTTGCGCCTCACATTTAATCACTGTTCTATGGACATGGCCGGAGCTGTGCTGTACAAGAACAGTGCCGTCATCCCTCCTGGCCAACCTCGGTAGCTTCCTCCTCATCTGCCCCGTTGTAACCACCCTCCTGCCTCCTCCAAGCCACTCTCCACACTAAAGCCAGAGTGACACTTTCAAAAAGCGAATCTGATCACCTCAACCTGCTTGCAAATTCTCCAGTGCCTTTCCATTGCTAGAGCGCCCGTTTTAGGGTCCCACCCATAAAGATGATCCTTTTTTATAACAACTTCTTGGGAAGGATGACAGATGTCACCTCTGGAAAAGTAAGTATTATGAAGAAAACAATGAACTTGGGAGAAATGCTCTACCTTTGAGATAAGAAATAATGAGAAAATACTGATTTGATTATGATAAACTGGACTCCGTCAGTAATTCCAAAAATATTTATGCAATTTCTGCTTAGAATCAGCCAGGCAGATGTGTCAAAATGGATATTCTTGGGCCCCACCCAAACCCATTCATTTAGAATCTCTAAGGATTCGGTCAGGAAATCTATGTTTCTAACAGGTACTCTAGGTACCTCTTGGACATTCACTCACCTAAACCTTTTCATCGCTAAGATAATAGGCAAATATCTGCATGTTGAACAATACCATATAAACCATCAATGTCAAGACTAAGGCTCAACTAGCTTTATTCAATGACCAATAGCTCCTCCCTTATCCAACAATAACATACACACACATACACACACACACACACACACACACACACACGTTATTGTTGAATTGTGCCTCATGGAAGCTCCTGTGTTGAGTGTCTGCCCCCTGGTGGTTTTAGTGTGCGTCATAGCGACCAGTATGCTAAGTGTCCTTCCGAATGTCTGGTCGCTATGACGACACTGACCACCAGGGGGCAGACGCTCAGCACAGGAGCTGCCTTGAGGCACAATGGCCAGTTACAAAAAAACAGCACCTGGTGCCCACAAACCAACACTCGGCTTCCCCCAAGTGGGACATAGGCCCGCCACCACCCCAGAGTGACAGCCCACCAAATCACAGCCAATGCTGCCAAGACTCCATAGCCCAAAATGCAGCCCACAGCCCCCGTGAAAATTACTTCAGGTTTTCTTATTGTTCATAATATAGTCAAACACTGCTAATATTAATATTTAATATTAAATATTTTACCCTTTGTTCTCCCTGCGTGATCTACAATAATTATCTGCTTCATGCTAATATTTACTGCTGTGTTGCTGGCAATTACCTGAAAGAGAAGTTGGGGTGCTTCACTGGGCTGGAAAAAGTTTAGCTAAATCAGAAAAAGCAGGTCTAATTAAGCAAATGTATTCTATATATATGGCTAAGTTGACTCGCGCATTGCGCCATACACATAAAGCTCTCACTGGCACCAATCGCGCACTTGTGTTTCCATCTGTCATTGTCGATCGTGAATTTGGTCGACACTTCTATTATAGAGAAAGGGCAAATAGCAATACTGAAGTATTTCTTCTAATTAATTTCCTTTCAATGTACACGAAACCATGCACCGAGCCACTAGTGTTACATAAATCACAGATTCAAATTAAGACTCAACTCATGTCACAAGTTTCAAGTGCCCATTGCTTGAGCAGGTCACGCACATCATAGGAAGCCAAATCTATCACATCCCTGAGCACAACTCACTTATGCCAGGTCAATAGTCTTACTACAAATATGTTCATTCCAAATATCTCTTTTCCTAAAACATACCATCCTGCCATGGGTGGGAAATAACTGTGAGAGAAAAATAAACAAAAAACACAAATCATGTTTTGCTCTTGACTTCTGCCAGTTGACTTCTGAGCTAGTACTGTGTGGGATTCAAAGAAAAGCACGTCTGTTCAGGCCTTTTATATTCTGAAAAATCCCTAGAAATGTTAGAATGAGGCTTCTTAATGAGCAGATTCAATGCTCACCCAATGGCCAACCTAAGACAAATGCCAAGTTTCCCTGACATCAGGACTGGTCCTTAAATAAACTCATCCCTGGACATGGGGTGCCATCTGACCCAATATTAGCTTCTGGCTCCTGGAGAGGAAAAGCATTTTACCAGATACGGTCTTCTCTGCGTCAGCCCCTCGAGCTGGGAGGGGTCTCCACTGCACAGAGCAGCAGGAGTACAGAGCACTGACACCGAATCTCGTGCTCAAGACTCCCAACTAATTTTCCCCTTTCTTTGATATGTTTAAAATTACTGAACTTATGTAAATTACCTGGAACAATGATTTCCTACACATATTGTTAAAAAAAAAAATCTTGACAGAATATAAGTCAAATAATCCTGAGAACTGCTTTAAAAGATATGGGGTTTAACTGTGGTGCTACAGCAAGTTTCTAATCTGACTCATGTGATGTGGTTCAACAATTTTTTTTATTTCAGAAATGGGTAAGTATTGACTTTTAGCTCTGATTACTTTCAAGTGCTTCTATATTAAAAAAGTGCGCGCACGCGCACGCGCACACGCACGCGCACACACACACACACACACACACACAAGGCAGAAAGTAATAGTGCTTTAGAAACAATGATTGTGTACTGCAATAGCCAAAGAAGCCTACAAGAAAAAAACATTTGTAGAAGAAAACAGGCAGAGAAGTGAAATTTTCAAGATATTTCATAGGTATAAAAAACAATTTTTCAGCATCCATATTGAATTAGCAGCCCATCACATAAATTACTTTTCACAGATTCTATGTGATCTAGGTAATAAAAAGGATCTATCACTATATAGATCAGTGGTTCTCAACCTTCTGGTCCTTTAAATACAGTTCTTCATGTTGTGACCCAACCATAAAATTATTTTCGTTGCTACTTCATAACTGTAATGTTGCTACTGTTATGAATCATAATGTAAATATCTGATATGCAGGATGGTCTTACGCGACCTCTGTGAAAGGGTCGTTTGACCCCCACAGGGGTCACGACCCACAGGTTGCGAACCGCTGATATAGATGAATAAAGCAATCCCTGGTTAGATGTACTGCAACAACTTGAGGGGAAAGAAAGTGAGATTATTCAAGTTCTAAAAAGACTGGAACTCAGCACTCACTTAAGTGAAACACAAAGAAAATATGAAGATGACTTCAAATTCAGAAGGTTTCTAAATTTCCATATTTTATTTCAGTTTTCTCATTACAAATTATAGCTACAAAGTGCAAAATCACTAGGCTATTTATTCCCAATAGAACTTTCTAATTCCCTTACCAGTTCTTATGCTTTTAACTCTGTTGCAAGCCAAAGAGAAGACTTTTTCCCCCGCCCACCCCCCCACCCCAAATTCTGAAACTCCACTGTGAATGCTCTCAGCCATGAAGCATGCACTGACCCCCCTCAGGGCTCTCTTGAACATGCTGACAGAATCTGCCAATACACAGGGACAAGGACAGAAGGGTGACGTGGCATTCCCTGAGATTTAAAAAGGCCCCTGTGGTCAAATGAGAATCGCTAAAGATGTTAAAGACACCAAAGCCAGTGCTACATTTAGACTCCAAAATTTTAAGCATTTGTGAAAGACAGAAAGCAGGTATTAATGCTAGCATAAAAATATTTCTTAAATTCAGTGTTTATTTGTCAAATATCAACTGCTTTTTCTTTCATTCCTTTCTGTTTCTGATCTTTGCAAAAACCACATCAGGATCAAATGTCACTTAGTTCTTATTCAAACAGAGGGAAGCAGACACAGCGGCTGCACCAGTGACTTAGCTGACCTGGGCCCGAAGGAAAAACAAACCTCTATAAATCACCAGATGTAAGCAATTGGGTAGCGATCACTTTAATTAATTGAACAGCTTTCCTGAAATTTACTGTATAATTTCGACCCTCCCAACACCTTTCCCAGAAGCATCTAACAATGGTGTTATTTCCTTCGGTTGTTTAAAGGAGAAAAACATTTTTAACTTCAGTGGATTAAATATATTTTTAAATTATTCAAGATTAAGATGGTAAACTACTTAATTTTAAAAATTTAATCATTCACATTCTAAATGCTGCCTTTAAATGCCCAAGTCAAAATTATTCCAAAATATCTTCAATGCATGAATAGGTTATCCACCTTAAACGTACAGAAAAGCTAACACCATTTTAATTTTATTTTAAAACTTGTATTTGCAAAATAATGTGTAATGGTATTTCTAACTTCAATCACATTAATTTATCTGGATAAAAGTTCCTATTTTGATTTGATGTTTCTGAACCTTGATTTCCACCGCAGGCACCACACTTAAAAGAGGATACTCCAGTGCCCTATTAAAAACTCCCATTTCTCCTCACAAAACAACTCCAATCATTCTCCACTAGCAGCTAAGTAATAATACCTAACCCACAGATCCCATGCCAACCATTAAGCAATACCAGAGGTAAAGTCTCAGTCAACAGAATATAATCAAATACATGTCTCTATGGGGTGCAGGCAGCTTCCTTGAATTTTGGGGGCCTGAGTTCAGCAATGAGTGAAGTGTAAAGCATGTTGTTACAATGATACTTCAAATTTAGCAGAGAGAGACTAGGGCTGAAAAACAAGTCAACAGTTTTAAACACCTCATCACCCACTGAAGGGAGTATTCTTATTTTGCTTCTAAGGCAGTGGTTCTCAACCTTCTGGCCCTTTAAATACAGTCCCTCCTGTTGTGACCCAACCATAAAATTATTTTCGTTGCTACTTCATAACTGTAATGTTGCTACTGTTATGAATCGTAATGTAAATATCTGATATGCAGGATGGCCTTAGGCGACCCCTCTGAAAGGGTCATTCGACTGCCAAAGGGGTCACGACCCACAGGTTGAGAAGCGCTGTTCTAAGGTCTTTACTCCAGCTCATATCCAACTGCTACCCATAGTCCCTGCAGAAATTACATACGAAATCCTGCTGACATTCACTTACAAGGAGAGAAGTGTAATATTTGCTGAGACAGGTCCTAGATTTGGAATGGTCTCCAATTCATTGTTGTTCAGTTTCCTACAAATGCCCCCAAAAAAAGAAAAAAGAAAGAAAGCTGATTAGGTCATCTGCAATTCATAGAGGCGAAACTGTAAAATTATTTAAAATTATTGTTAACTCAAGTTAGCAGTTTTAAATAATTTATTGCAATCCAAATGTTTTCAAAGTTAAGTAATGTGATGGGTAGTATTTTATTCAAACGCCAAATAGAAGATAACTACGACTCACACTTCTCGAAGGCTTTGAAGGTGGCTCGTGGAACTTGCCTTGATGACAGACAATCTGTTGTGACTTAAGTCCCTATGAGAAAACAAAAATAAAATAAGTCGTCTAAAAAATCACTAATAGCACTTAATGATGTACAAGACAGAATGGACCTGTGAAATATCTCTATCAACACTGGTGATGACATAAGACATAATTGGCCCATCCTGACCATAAACTAGATGGTAACCAAAATGCCAAACTCCAAAAACACAAACTCTGAGGACAGAATTAGTTTAGGAGGCTGGCAGATCCCAATGCTTTAAGCCCACAAGTGTTTTAGGAGATGTTTTTTGGCACAGGGTGAACAGACCTTTTGTGAGCTGGCTGTTTTGCTTCACCTTCCCCATCACCTACCATCTCCTCACTTCCACCGTGATATGATGAAGTCATGGCTTAAGAAAAGTGGCTAATGAGGCAGGTTGCTGAAACTAAAACCTCTAAAGAAATCTTTTTATTTTATTATCATAAATTTAAACATCAAGTGTCTTATTATGGTCAAACAAAGTAGAAATTGCTTTTCACACATTTATTTCTCTGGGCTAAGGCAACAAATTGTTTAAGGTATCATTTTGTGTGTGTGTGTGTGTGTGTGTGTGTGTGTTTGCATGTGTGCACACTCGAGTGCTGAGGGTAGAAAACAACCTAAACTCTATGCTCTCCTGAATTCCCCAAATCTCAGTATCTGGTAATATATTGTGTCATTTAAACCACATTAGCCACCTAACACAGTTAAGCAGAATGTACAGAAGGCTGTGATCACATTTCTTTTCAATCATTCAAATAACTCTGCTTTCTTATGCAAAGATTTAGTCTAACTTGACCTAACAATTTCCATTGGACATTATTCTTCTTTAAAAGAAGCAGCACAAAACTTCTACATACACAATACTCTAGGCTAGGAAAGTCATCACAGCATTTAGGATTCAAGCTGTGATTTTTTGAACCTGCCAAACATTTGGTTATCTCCCCTCTATTTGTCAACATATTGAATACGTGCCCTCAAAATGGTGCGATGAAAATAAAATGGCCGAACAGCCATTGAAAACCAGGCTAACAATAATAGGGTTTAAAGCTCTCCCGCTGAAAAAGGTTAACCAACGTAAATTAATTCTTTCGGTGTTTAAAGAGAAAGATTTTTAAATAACCAAAGTTTCAAATAGCCATATTTGATTGGAGAAAAAGCATGAACCATTTATTATATGCTCAAGTATGCCCCCCCTCAAAAGAAAAAGGCAGAGAAACACAGTGTTCCTCAGTGCCCATCCATTAGTTCACAATTAGAAATCAGAGAGCCTTTCCAGCCTTTGAATTTTTGTTTTGAGAATAAACCTGGATTTCTCCATTTCACACACACACAAAAATCTGCAAAGGTTTTTTTTATTTGAAACATGTTTGCCTAAAGACCTACCAGACAGTAACAGACATGAGCAGATTTGTTCTGGTAGAGTTATAACATGAAAAAAAAAATCTGGCACAGTCTTTCAACTATAAAAATCCTGCAATTACAACCACTGCTGTGCATGCTCACCATGCTGGAGCCACTTTCCCTCACAGACCCAGCTCGGGTCCATCTGGAGTTCATCAAGGAAACCGTGAGCCCAGCAACTCACGTTAGGATTCAAACAAAACCTGTGTGCTTTTAGCACCACAGACAGTCACGGATTTCCCACCGGGTTCAGAAAACAACCAAGGAAAAGACTCCTTCACCTGGGAGGTAGCCTGAATCAACAGAAAGTCTCACTTGGACCCACTTAACTAAACATTGAACCGGCATAAAACTGCCTCCCCTATTGTTTCAAGGTGTTTTTTTTTTTTTTTAAGGAGGAACCAATCTGGCATTTACATTTAACACAGGTGATTTGCCTTTTAATTAGAAAAACTAAAACCATACTCTTCATTTCGGTTGAAGGATTATTCCACAAGGCAATCCTGTGAGGATGGAGTGCCTAGCATTTTTCCCAACCAGTGATGGGATGAGAGCTCCAACAAAAGGCCTTTAAATGGAGAAACTGCCTCCAGAGAAAAGTTGCACATGCTGGGGGGACCGCTCACTTCTGATGCAGAAGCAAGAGCTGGTAACCTTAACTATTTCAGTTATTGCAACACTTCCACTCCTGAATTCTGTGTACTACTATTAAAACCACATTCTATGTGGGAGAAAAAAAGACACCCCTTAAGTGACTTTTACTGCTAAATACTTAAAGCCATGAAACTTTTAATGCACCTAAATTTAGACTTAATTCAGTTTATGTTCCAGAAATGCTTATTTTCCAGATAAAGGATGTCACATTTTCCTAAATCTTCCTTATATTGTTTTTATAGCTAGACCATTACAAACAAATTCCAGTTGTACAATGTCCATGTTTTGTTAAAACCCGTAAGAGCATTCAGTAAGGAAGGCAGATTCATTTTAGACTCCCACTAGTGAGCATCTTCACCAAGAAACTTTTTTTTTTAAGAAAAAGAAACCATTTCTATTATATTTAGGGACATATCTTTTTTAAAGGTTTAACAATTTTTTTGAATTTTTTTTAAAATTTATATTTCAATTATCATTTACATTCAAGTTTATTTTTTGTTGGTTTCAGGTGTACAGCTACACATAGTGGTTAGACAACCATATACTTTACAAAGTGTTACCAAGAAACCTTAAAAAAAAATACACAAAAAAACTTTTGGTAGTGAGGTTAATAAAAGGAAAAGGTGGTCAGGCAGGGAGGTGTTAACTATTTACCCAGAACTCAGCTGGCCAAATACTTGAAAATCAAACTCTACTTGGTAGAGACAATCTTCCTGAATATTAGCAAGCGCATAGAATATACGAAAATAATTAATTTACAACAACTGGGTCCAGCTATCATTTTCTTCCTTTCAGCATTTGGAAATCTGACTTCCAAGTCAAATTTTAAAATGCAAATCCAGCACAGCTTCTTAATCAATCCCACTGGGGCCCGCAGAGCTGCTAATTCAGCAGAAATCTGGAAAGCTGAAAAACAAAAAGCCAGGCTGTAGCTGTTTTAAGACACTGATCCAGAGTGACTCATAAATCAGCCGGCTATGTTCAAGTTTTAGTCTGGAAAATACAGAAAAACAGCTGCGAAAACCATAAGGACTATTACCCCCACCCCAGCCCTAATTCTGATACCAACCAAAGGATTTCTAACAGGCGGACACTAAGGAAATCCCACCAGCAGAAAGAAGTCCCTTTAGGACTCTTTTCTCCTGAGCCCTACTAACACAAACATCTCTACATGTACAATAAATAATTTTGAAATTCCAGCGAAATTTTAATAATACTTGAAGCTCTCAATGGCAACTGAGCCACTTTCCCCCTTTGGCTAAGGAACATGTTTCTAACAAGTGCTCTTCTTTAGGTTCAGGACTCCGTGAGCACAACTCTAGATGTAAACTCAAGAATGCCTTTTAAGGCAGTTAGTTGTAAGCAACCTTCAAATAGTTACTGTTTTTTAAGAGCCACTTCCACTAAAATATTAGAAGTTATTTTTTGAAAGAACTAACGGCAGCATTATTATGTTACAGCTCAAACTATTCAACATTTCACACATGAGGTTCCTATGGCAATAAATTACAACTGAATAACGTGAAAAAATAAATAATTATAACACACAGAAAGACTGATTTTTTTTTAAACTTGCTAATTCAACAAATAAAAAGGAGGACACTAAACTTTTTCTGAAGAGTGCTCCCATAAGCTAGACCTGAGGCCAACTTTCATTACTTTAATTACCTAAGGAAAGGAAGTTAAGATACAGAAGAACAATATGCATGTTTCCACTTATGTCTAAACTCCGAAACAATCTACTTAAAAAAAGCCTTTCTCATTATGTAAAATTTAAGAAGCAGGTTTCTTATGCCTCCTGTTACAAACACCAAGTAACAGCGAAGTTAAAGCTCCATTTCTTGGGTTTTTCTTCTCCTTTCAAAGATGGAGAGAGACCTGCAGAGCTTTAAGCACAAACAAAAGGAACATTTACAATAAAGAATTTAGACCACATGGTTCGGTGACAACTACAAAGTTGGTTAAAAGTCACACAAGTACAAGAATGACAGAGCTGTCCAAGGAGTGATCACAGCGGGGCTTCTGACAACAGACCTAGCGCTTATTTACACAAGTGGAACTTATTTTCACATACATTTAAGGAATGTGGACTTGTATTGAGACAATTTACTGCTGGCGGAAATGTAATTAAAGATTGTGCTAACCAAATAAACTGTAATTTGTTTTTAGTGTGCCACCAAATTATCTGCAAAACAAAATCCTAATTAGGTCAGCTACTTTTAAGATAATGTTTAAATAGGTACCAAGCCCCTAATCAAGAGCAATACAGTTATCTTTTAAAAGACATCCAAATTCACAAAAATATAATATTGCAGGGTATGAGGCCTCTTGATATTGAGAAACTATTGAACATAAATTAGATTTGTGAAAGATCCAAGCCTTTCCAAACACAGCCCAGGGAGCACTACTATATTCATTTTCTTTTTCTCATCCCTCTGTTATTCATAGGTGTTCACCTCCAGTCAGTTCCATATGTTGTCAATAGAGCCATTCACATTTCATGAATAAGGCAGCATGACCTCCACAAGAGGCAATTGAGCAGAATTAGCCACAACTAATTGAAAGTCTGCCTGCTTTGGGTTAAAGCCTTTATCTCCATCTTCAATTGTAATAAAAACTACTAAGTAAGACATCCCGTGATAAGAGATTAAATATCAATCTAAAACTCTCCAGTTCTACTTTTCTATTAAACCAAGGCTTGCTAACACACAAAGAATATTATTTTGATGGCCAACAATTCTACAATTCAAAAATAAATATTCTGATTGGCACAACGATTTAAAAACAATTTCCTTCTACCATTATTATTATTATTATCATCATTATGACATTAGGATAGTCTACTAGAATTGTTTAGGAACTTAGAATTTCCATTGCAATTCTGCTAGGTCCAAATCTATTAAGTGTAGACTGTACTTTTACTTCTTTTAAACAGTAACTTTTTTATTTTTAAAGCACAAGTTTTGACTGTTTACATGTTACAGGAGTCCTCCCATTTCAACAAAACTAAGGTTGGGAGAGAATAAAGACATGACATTTGGAAAGAATCAGCCTTTCCAACTAAACTACATTTTTTTCCTTGTTCTTGCACGCAGTTGGCAGTGATTTCAGGTTTTCAGACTTCACAGCTAGCATCCAAAAACTTGCATAATAGCACTCAGCACTCTCTCCTAAACCGTCTGGGCGTGCTGAGCAGCTACAGAAATCACGCCCTTGCTTCTCAAAACCAGCTCCTTCCCTTCCAGATCTACGGATCGGCCTTGCCAACTTCCCACCGGAACGAAGATGTTACGATCTGGTCTAAGAGGGG